CAAGGACGCTACTAGTAGCTCCTGGCCTTACCAGTAACAAGAAGCTAAGTAGTCGAAAGAGGTACAGAATATATTTGGTGTCGTTCTCTAAGGCCAAAGGCTTGGCGGAGATCCTAAGCTTGGAGACTCCCACCATTGACAAGGCAAACAGGAAAACAAGAGACAACGAATAAGCCTTATAAGCCTTCTGGTGAGGAGCAGATAGTTGTATTGAATATGTTTGAATTCAATTCTGCTTGTAAACGACGTCTAGAAGACGTTATTTTTGACGTCTTTATTCACAACCGTTTTGCAGCGCTTCGTTCTTCGTTGCCCATCCGGCAAGGTGGTGAAGTGGGGTCAGGAGTGTTTTTGAAGCGTTCGTGGTGATGGTGAATTGCAAGACAGAGAAGCGATTGCACTTGCACTTGTTCCTAGTAGCATATTGTTACTACTAGTAAGGCACTTGTTACTACTAGCGATGCACTTGAACAGCTGTTTACACTTGGAGAAAATCGAGAAGTCAAAGATTACGCCAGCATAGACCACTGACAGTGCCAGACAGCACAAGATATTTGTGGTCAGCACCGGGCAGCACCCAACCGCTTCCTTTTTTTTGTACGGCGTGGACATGATCTGGCAGCGGCACTCCCCAGTTGCTCCTTCACATGCAGCCAAATGAACGACAAGACCCCCAATAGGGATGTCCTCCAACCTACTAGCGATGGCCTCCAGTTCTAAATGCAGCAAAAAGTCAAGTCCGGGGGCTTGCACCGGAACCAGCACCTAGCACCTAGCACCAGCACGGACACCTTGCCTTGAAAGCGCTCTCAGCCAGCTTTTTCCTGTTAGCGTCATTGCTCCTAGTAGCGATGCCCTTTGCTTCTAGTAGCGATGCTCGTTGTTCCTAGTAGTTTCTTGTTGAACTCGGTGCACCTTTCCTAGTAGTTCCTACCGCAGAGTGCAGCTCCAGGAGTGCATTGGTCTTGAGATCATGGTGGATGGGAAAATGACTGGCAAGGAGATGCGCAAAGGAATTAAAGGAATAAAGAAATAAAACGAATGTTATGAATATCTTATAATTAGAAACAATCAGCTACTAGGAACAAGTGCATCGCTTCTAGTAACAAGTGCCTTACTACTAGGAACAAGAAGCTAGAAATTAACGAATGTTGTGCAGGATTTAGATAAGACACGAGCTCCACAAGGCCAAAGTCTTGAGACGAAACGTTCCACAAATTGGCACAGTAATAAATAGATGTGTGTGTGTGTGTGTTTTTATTAGCGTCCTTGTTACTAGTATCGATGCCCTTTGTTACTAGTAGCTTCTTGTTACTAGTAACCACCATTGTTCTATGCTGTTTTGGTTTACATGTTGCTTTTTTGGCCATCACTGGGCTCCGTTCGCTTCATTTCTTCCGCTTGTCCAGGCATGGGCATCACCACGCTGGATGCATTCCTCGCCGCCTCGAAGATCGAGAAATGAGGAAAGAGCGAAAAAGAAGAATTAAATGAACAGGAAAAAAAAAACAAGTAAAAACGAAAGTGAATGAGATGTTTCAACAGGTTGCAAAAGATGTTTCAACAAAACAAAGAAAACAGGCCAGGCGGCCCTGGCCAACTTTTCAACGAAAGAACAGACAGACTCGTGGCTTGTAAAAGTAAGCTGCTAGCATATCATCATACCTTTCGACGGCTTGGAGAAAGAAATGACTAGCAGTTCGCATTCGACACTGCTCTCAGAAAGTAGATGTAGTTACTGTAGTTAGTTAGTCTTTTGGGATGTTTTTGCAACAAATCAAAGGTAATGAAGGCAACACGGAGACCTTTCATTTCCAAAATCGAACATCGACCTTGAGCTGTGTTCGCGTGACGTTGCTGTGCATCGCTTCACAGAAGAAAAGCCGAAGCCCAAGCCGACTTAGAAATGTTGGTCAGGTCTTGGAAGAAAACGTGTCAAAAGTAAACATGAAAGCAATGCACACTTGCTTTTTGTAGCAAAATGTTGAAATGTTGATATTGTGCATATAGCCTGTTTAGAAACGTGCAAAGAATCGCAATTGCCAAATGTGACTAACATTCTTGCAAGCAGATGCACTTCGACTGATCACCCCAGCAAGACAGTCACAGAGAACACATAGTAATCTACAAAAAGCTGGTGGGGAAAGCTGCCAAGTGGAGCTGGTGGTAGAGGACGAGGCGGAGGAGAAGGAGGAAGGCAGCTGACATAGAATCTAACGACCCTCGCCTGACAGATGGGGAATAATATCGAAGCATAACTTTCTGTTTTTCGACAGTTTGCGTCTCCCTGCCGGGATTTGAAGGGCTTGCCTCGAAGCTGCGCTTTCACACGTACGAGACTTCCAGAAAATCGAGGCTACGAGCTTGACATGACTAAGGAATAGAAGCGCTGCACTACGCTACGCTTTCGGAGTGACCCACATCGCCAAAGCTATCAAAGAAACCTGTTTTGGAGACGTCACGCGTCAGTTGCTCGTGATGGGCGTGAGATTTCCCACTTGGAGACAGTCTCGTACAGCACAACTTCAGACTTGACGCGACTTGTGGAGGGAAACAGTGGTGCACTGTCGAGTGTCCTAGAAGAGTGTCGTCACAAGACTCTCCCAGAAGAGTGCCAACGGAAAGTGTCCCTTATGTCTTCGAAGAGTGTTGAGTGTCGCACAGAGGTGTTTTGTAAGTGTACCACACAGTCTGAGATGTTCGAGTTGTCACGCATTCAAGCTTTGTGGGTGTCATTTTGGTCTCTAAAGAAGCCAGGAGCAAAGCTAGCTACTGGCGGCCGCGGCAGATGCCGCAGATGCGGAAAGTGCTCAACAACTGAGACGTTTTTCACTGCCTGAGCTCCACCCGTTTGGCCTTTCTGAGCCCTTTGCCCTTCTCCCATGCTGTCTCACTGTGTTGGAAGGAGTCCAAAAGGAAAATATTGTTTTTGTGGCAAGAGTTCTGAGTTCTTCAACTGAATTCTTGCAGTTCAGAATGTACGACAGTTCTTGGCTCCTTCTGGTGCACACTAGACAACCTGCCAACATTTGAGCAAGGTGAAAAGAAGCCACTGCAGTGCGTCCAGAAAATGGTACGTAGGTAACTTTTGACTGCGCGGAGTCATCCTTTGGTTTCACTTGCTTCTCAGAAGTAGAGAATCCGTTGGCGGTGGAAGGAGCATAACCGGTGTATTTTGCAGTCATTACATACAAGTTTATGAGCTAACGCAGGCCCGAACACTTACTGCGCGCTAGTTGGCCACGGCGCATAGGCGGCCGTGGTCTTCAACGATGTCCTTCGTGTGGTCCTTCGGTGCTTTTTGGAAACATTATTTTCGATGTTCTCGGAATAGTTCGTGCGAATGGAAGTGCAGCGACACGTACAGTGCAACTTGTACATATA